GCGCACGGAATTCGCCTGCGCACAGGCGAACGCCTGTGCACAGGAGGATGTTCAAGTTCCGCGCCGGCGGAGCATCCGCCGAGGCTCCCGCCTGCGCACAGGCAGGAGTTGAACTTTTGTCCGACATGCGGACACACGCGTCAAGGCAGAGGGGGATTGGCCGAGGGGCGGTACGAACAAGTGTACCGCGCAAGGCGGAAAACTCGCCTTCGGCGCTACGCCCCCATGTCCGCGGGGTAATACGCTCGCGGAGTTCAAATCCGCCAATTCGAGCGTGAGAGTTTAATCGACGACGGCGGAGCGTGAAGCCGCGCGTGAGAGCGAAGACCGTTCCAGCGTACAGCCGGCGCGGCCATCAAGTGAGACGTTCTTCACGAGCAAGAGCCGACCATGACCTTCGACCGGGCGGCGGAGAACGTCCCATTCTTGAATTCGCGATTCCAATCTCTTGTGCGCGCTGCGCGCATCCATCTGCTGGCTGCTGAACGTTCTCGACGTCGCCGCACAGGAGATTTCTTGTTGATTGAGGGAGAAGTGAATGCGCGTGATTTGGAATTGAGGGCGATTAGAGTTTGCCGAGAGAGAAAGAAGCTCGGGCGGTGCGGAAGTAGAATGAGCGGGCGAGCGAACCCCAGGAACGCAATGACGAGACCAAGCAGATTGCGGATGGTGCCACTTTGCCTACCACAGAACGGGCTACGCGCTTTCGAGGAGCGCTTAATAGCAAGAAAGCTCGATTTCTTGCTATGGGGATGGAACTACATCTGTGCGAATATGGTGCGCGAGTGGCTAGAGCCACAGGGACCACCCTCGCGCGGATTGCGTCCGCATGTTGATCGGTGGACAGTCCAAGATTGGGCGCAGGCGTTGGGAAGATGTGCTGGCATGCCAGGGCATCTCCTTTTCGACAGTGAGAGCATCAAGGTGACCAAGCAGGAAGAGGCGCAATTTGTGGAGCTGTTCAAGACCGGGAGGTCTACCAAAAATGGGTACAGGACCCGTGATTACAAGGATCGATTTCACCGGACTTTGCCCGCGGCGTTGATGCAATTACTGCAGCCGCACCGCGCCTGCTACATCACATTGTGGCAGGTCTCTTTTGTGGAGTGCGTCATCGAGGGAACTCCAATTCACTGGGCGAGCATCCTGCACAGGGTGATGCGACAGCACGCGTTTGAGGAGAAGGGGGGAACTCTAAACCATCTTTCTACTTTCCTCATCAATTTTTATCGACAGCGGAATTGTTTGACAGCGGCGGAGCTGGAACATTTTCCGCCATTGTCCATCGACCATCCCGGGAAGTATGTGCGGGAGAATGAGGTCGACACTGATGCAGAGGAGTCACCGACTTCTACCCCATCAAGGCGGAGGGACGAAGGGAGACACACTCCTGCAGCACGAGTGCCGCGGAAGCGGCGATGGAGGGAAGAGTCTGAAGAGGAGCAGCATCAAGAACCCTCTGCTCCCATTCGACCGCGGCCGCTGTGCGAGCCATACAGCCGGCCGAAGCAGAAGGCACGCAGACTGGTGTTACCAGCCGACAGTGCGGACACGGCGACGATTGCGACGGAGGAAGGAAGTGCGTCGCCAGAGAAGCATGAGGAAGCGCGGACGACCGCAGGAGCAACGGGCCACGCTGCAACCTCGACGGGAGAGAGGCCGCCTACGGGCCAAGGGCCTCCGGAGTTACCACGTGCGATGCGGACAGATGTTCCGTTTGCGCACAAACGAGCCTCCGCGGACGGACGAGCCTCCGCGGACCGGCGAACACAAGTGGACGTGGATCTACGCTTACGCGTGGGAAGGAGCAGTCCGCCTGTGCACAGGCGCTCACCTGTGCACAGGTCGCCTGTGCACAGGACACCTCCACACGTGCCGCCTGTGCACAGGCAAGAATCACCCCCGTTCCAACGTAGGAAGGGGAAGGAGCCGGCGGAAGAACCGCCTACGAGACACCGGCCCTCGGGGCCAGACCCTCCGGCGCACCACGCGCCGCAATTTGCGCCTTCGGCGCCAGGGCCTTCGAGCCGAGGAGATACGAGCAGGGAGCGTGCGGAGGCCGCACCATCGGCGGGAAGTCCGCCGATAGTTGCGCCTTCGGCGGTAGGGCCTATAGGCCAAGGGACATCGGGCGAGCGGCCCCCGGCCATGTCGCCTTTGGCGATAGATGTCCGCGGCGCTACGCCTGCGGCGGACAAGGCGCCGGCAATTGCGCCTGCGCACGGGCCGGGCACAGCCCCCACGGACCGATCAAGGGAGCAGCAGACAGAGGAGCGGAGTGACTGTCCGCGGGATGAAATTTCGATGCGCGATGCGCAATCAAACCCCGCGCAGCCACCCTCCGCTCGATCGCTTTCGGCGGCGGGCGACGGCGGCAGAGAGGACGCGGTAGGCAACCAACAAGCAAGCGACGGGGATGCCGCACGGGTACATTCGCCTTCCGCCTTAGACATTTTGGCGACGAGCAGCGAGGCTGCAGCCGTGCCTTCGCAGGCAGCACACGTCGACGACGTGCAGCCCCACTCGGGGCAGTCGCCGACGCAATCAATGGCGACTGAAATTCTCCACTCGGATGATGACGACGGAGGCTCCACTGAAGAAATGTCAGGAGCAGAAGACACCGAGGAGGAGGAGGAGGAAATTGTTGGAGCGCCGGCGGCGGCGCTCTCTGAGCAGGTGATTCCGTTGCTGAGGTACTTGGATCGCAAGGTCGATAAATACGCCGACCCACTCCAGCCGGGATCTTACATTGAGTTAGTGCGCAGGCGGACTCGCACTAAAGTCCACACCAGCAAGCTATTAGCTAGAGTGGACCAGGAGTTGAGGGAATTGAAGGAGAAGCATGCATGCTTGTGGGGTCAGTATAAGCTTAATCAGAAATTCTACAAGCACTCCGAGAAGATGAAGGATGAGAAACTGGACGAGCTCACCAAGGAGCAGGTGAAGGTCAAGGAAGCACTCATTTCCGAGCAGGCCCAGAATCGGATTTTGTCAGAGGAGCTCGTGCGACAGACGCGGTTGTTGGAACAATGTCAGCTCGCACGGCAGGCGGATGAAGAGTTAATCCGCAGGTTACAGTCAGAGTGTGGCGAATTGAGAGCGCAACGTGCTGAAGCCGAATCGCAATTAGTGATAATTGAAGAGGATCGCAGGAAGGAGGCGGATCGCACGAAGGTGGAGACGGCGAGGCGAGTCGCCCACTGTCTCAAGGGCTACGCCCACTGGGAAGTGAAGGCGCAGGAGAAACTCACACTGCGTGAGTTTGAATTACGCGCAGCCGGGTTGTTGTCAGGCGACAGTAGGAGTCGGCGGAAGGTAGCAAAGAAGCTCGACGCCTTTCTGTCGAAGGCACAGGATACCATGTCCGCCCTCGAAGTGGAGGTGTCCGCGGCGTTGCAGCGTTTGGGACTGCGCAGTCGAGCGGAAGATTGGCAGGGTAGGGAGTTAGTGCGCGGCAGTCGGCCGCGCAGGAGACGTAGTACAGGTTCCGCGGAGTGTAGTGTAGCGTGGTTCCGTGCAGGCGTGTAGCGTAGTGCAGTGTAGTGCTAGGTAGGACTTAGAAGGTATAAAATAGTTCCAGGCGTTTTGCCTGGGGTTCTTTCCCAAACTCAGAAGTGCAGATCAGGAACCCATTTCCTTTGCGTGTTTGTGTCCTTGAGTTCTGTCACCACGCACGAGGAGTTACAACTTAGCGTTCCGCATTTTGTAGCTGAAGGCCTTCGGCCGAATGTTCAGAGCTAGTACATTGGTTAGAGACTTGAGTAGTTCGGATCTGCACCTGCGGGTGACTGCCGATGCTCAGAGCCAGTGACTAGTTAGATACTTGAACAGTTTCGCCCCTACACCTTCGAGTGTTTCTTTCTGATTGTACTCCTTTGGGATTTTTCCCCTGAATGCCAAAGTGAAGTTTTGCTACTTCGTGTAAGCCTTGGTTGTAAATTCAGGTTACGCTGCAGCAGGTGCTTTGAGGGTAACCCCTGTAGTATTTCTGGGAATGACAAGTGCCTGAGAATTCAAACTCTTCAATAGACTGTTGTTGTGTTACTGGAATGTTTCACAGTGAGTCCTTCAGTGCGGACCTGTGTTCTCTGCGCGTTTTGTGAGTTGAGAGTGTTGTCCACCGCGTAGGAGTGACTTCGATCCGAAGTAGGCAGTCCAAACCGGGTTTCCTACACTAGCAGCAAGCTAGTGGAAGTGTTGTAAAAGCCGGAGTTGGAAGTCACTGCCCGCAGCTTTGCCGAGTGTACTCTTGAGAGACTTTCCCCCTGAAATCTTGAAGTAGAGGTCCTAACGGATCTCTGGGTTGTGTTTCTGTAGTTTCAGGTGTGTGTGTGTGTGTGTGTGTTACGCTGCACTGTGCGACCTCCGAGTGCGCTCCGAGTGGACACTTGCAGTATTTCTGGGAGTGACAGTTGCCTGAGAATTCAAACTCCTCAATAGTCTGTTAAAACGTGACACTTTGTACCCTGTGTGTTCCTCTGTCCCTGTGGGTTCGACCTTTCTACCACTATATTGCAGTTTTAGCCTTTAGTGGGTTATTACACAAATTGTCAAAAGAAAATCAACAAGATTAATCATATCTGAAATATGATCAACTTAAATCATAAATATACACAACAAGCAACTTTAATCATGCTTTTTGTCTAAAATAAATCAATGAAATTCTGAATCTGTATTTTGTGTGAATTTTTTAAGTAATTCTTTACATTTCTGTTGGATTTAATTTTAAAGTGTTGATCTATCTAATAAAGAAGAATTTTTGAAGCTTTAAAGTTTTGAATTTTTATAATTCTTTTCATAAATGAAAGCATCTAATTTACATTACTTTATGCAACTCAAATTCATCTAACAATGATAAAAAACTCACAGTATAAAAAATATTGAATATATCCAAGATGGAAATCGTATAATCAGTGTTATTCAATTTTCTAAATTGATATAACACTGAACATGATTTAAAATCACTCATATTCACAGATTTAAAGAAAGTAAACGTTTGAGATCTGAAAATAGATTTAAAAAAATAGTGATAAATTTATAGAACTTAATACAACAGTCATGGGTTTCTCACTTCTCGTCCCAGTTAAACCGATGCGTTTTCTGTCACAGGAACTTCAAAAAGGCAACTGACCGGCTCCAAAGGAAACGAGTCCAAAAGAAAGCTGGAGCTGCACAGACTCTATTGAGACCAGTACAGTTCCTTTTCACGAGAAGTTCATCAGACCACAAATCTCACGGGATTACGCGTTCTCGCAGTAGTACTGCCCCATCGACAGTTGTGACTTCCAGCTTCAAATATTGGTCAAGATGTATTAACACATTGTGAGAATAATACAAATACACCTTGTATCTTTATATTACAGAGCGTTGATTAGATCAGACTTGAACGGATCTCCGTACCAGCTTCTTACTTCCATCCTCTATGTTCGAATCATCTGCGGAGACTGATCCCATCTTCATTTGGTATTCAGTAGCAGAGTTTAGCTTTACAGTCGACTCTGTTTGATCTTCCTGTTTCAAATTTTTATAAGTGTAAAAGTGTGCATAGACAACGAAAACACAAAGATTGACGAACATTATGACAGTGAGTAACCAGTAGTAGTTGGCCAAGCCTCCAGTATTGAACCCACTCTTCAGCCAGCTTTTGGCGCCGCCATCACCAGAGAACCGTTCGGTTGCATTGACAATACCAATCGCGATAAATCGACCAAGTGCCTGACAACCAACGTCAGAGCCATGGAAAGACTGACCATATTTTCGGGAAACTCTTGATGGTAGAGCTCCAGCATGGCAGTTCCCAGCAAAGGGTGACAGAAACCCATCAATATAAGTTCGGGGAGCACCCATGCGGCGCTCATCGGGATTAGTCCACGCTTCACCTGCAGGTCGGTGATATTATGGGCTCGAATCACGCTCACCCTCCTCATCTCGACCAAAGCAGAGGCGCCCATCGTTGCTGCCGCGAAGAACAAGCCCAGGCCCGTTCTGACCTGAGGCGACAAGCCTCGAGGGTGGCCGGTCCATTTCTTCAGAGGACGGAGGAGGACGTACTCGTAGACCGCGATCCACAAGAGAGAGGAGAAAATGCTCGCGCTCATAACGGTCGCCGGAGGAAACGTGAAGTCCCCCAGCTGGCGATTCATTCCGGACACTTGTTGCACGCCGAACGTCACATTCTGAGCTGCCGCGACGTACATGAAGCAGGAACACAGCCAGTTCGGAAACAACAGAAGCACCACCTTCAGAACTTCGACTTGCGTCACGGTGCACAGCTTCCACTCGCGTATCAGTTGCTGCTTCTTATCGGAAGGAAGACCTTTCGCATCACCGGGCAGGACCGCAGCCTTGTCCAGAAACCTGTTCCACAAGTGATAACCTCAGAATCAATGAGGTCTGCAAGTCCACGCGAGCTTCAGAAGCCAACAGCTTTTCTTGAGCATCGTCAGCTCTGCGTAACAAGGGTCATTGTACAGCAGCGGCGATGTTTTTTTCCGGTTATCGGCTCGGATTATTGTCTGTTAGCTTCATACGCTCATGTCGCAGTCTAATTCTGAGGTATAGCGATTGAACATGTTTGTGCATGGGAATGAGTAGAGAGTCGCAGAGGGAGGGCCGTGACCAGCAATGGCTCTCGTTGAAGGCAGTCTGAGAGGATTGCAATCGAACTTTGAACCATGGTGAACAATCTATCGGATCGGATCGGATCGGATCTAGACGGAGCGCAAGAAATGTGATAAGACTTGAGGGCAGGGCAGGGAGTCTTACTTCAGTCGCTCGCTGTGAGTTATCTTACGAATGCGATTGAGCTGTATATCTGACGTCTCTCCTTCGAGCTCGTACAAATCAGACCCATCTGCTGGTAAAGGCTTGCGCCAGTTCCTCGTGGCGGCAACAATCACCTTGGCCAAAATTGTCAGCGGACTGCCCACGGGCTTTTGGTGTCTGCGTCAGTACGGTACGGATGGTGTTATCGGACAAGCCGACCTAACTTCAAAACCCGAAGACTCTATCTTATGAGATACTTAGTCCATACTATGTTTTAGCTAGAAATTCACATGTAATTGCGGGAGTGTTTCATCTTATCATTATCTGTCACTCCATATGACTAGCATGAAGCTCTTGCAAGGTTTCTCCTCTTGTCCATTTATTCTTTCTGGCTCTACGCTGTTGAAAGTGACTCTTCAGGTTTCGACTGATTTTCACTCTAATCTGACAGTCATCACAAAAGATTGATTCTGCTAATCAACACTGAGGTCCGAAGAATCTTATAAATGCTTTTCCTGGATCAGTGCAAAGACTTCATATTAGGCATGTAGAAAGCAAAATCAGATTCCTCTTTCCATAGCTTAGAATCCATCATACATATTGAAATCCTAACGTCTTTTCAGACTGACAACGTTGACAAGTTTCATCACGGTATGGAGGCCGTAGTCGTGATGGAAAGGTGTACCTCAAATAGCGAATGCCAAAGAGGGAGATGATGATGCCTGCATAAAAAGTCCCTGCCATTGTGGAATATCCTTCCTTGAAGCCGACGTCTGTCTGAAGCCAGAAGAAGACAGTGGTGGCCAAAAAAAGGGCAGCTTCATACACTGCATAGTAGTAGGAGAAAAAAAGAATCCCTTTCTTTTTCTCCACGGGATCCGTGTCGTCAAATTGCTGCCTCCCCAAGGACAGCACTGTAGGTTTGATTCCTGCAGCGCCCATACCTGAGATAAACAGTCCTGCCATGAACACGCTCTGGATGTGCTGACTGGCAGGCGGGCATACGGCCTCGTCGCATTGGGGAGGTATCAGATGTGGTAGCGATACAGAGAGCACCAAACCAATAAGGCCCTGCGTGAATTCAGAAAAGTAAATTTTCAAGGAGTGGTAACAATAGTTGTAAATCGATCACAACCTCAACCATTGTTCCTGAAGTAATGACATATGCAAAGCTTGGTTTCCTTGGAACTGGATCTTACCCCAGCGTAGACAATGCACGATGCTGCAATGACCCAGAAAGGAAGGATGTAGGCATCAGCGATAAAACCGAAGATAATGGTTGCCACCATCGATGAGCCGGCAATATAGTTGGTGAGGTTCGCACCAGTGGCCAAGTCTAGGTGCAAAATATTGACTGTGTACGTGATGAGGTTCCCTTGTATAGCAACCAAAACTAGGGAGTTCACGAATACGATAACTGAGACAAAAACAAACATTGCGATTTGGAAAGGACGTGAGTAACGATAAACCTCATGTTATCAGAATATTTGGAACCAGATATCCACACTGTTGGCAGCAAGGTACTTAATGCAAGCATGAGTACCGCTCGATAATATTTTCATGTATTTTTCTAAAATTTCAATAGATATAAAAACTCGCTGAGGCTCGAGCCCTCTCACAAGCAGATAGGACTTTGACCGAGTTATTCTTGCAAGAGCAACAGGCTGGTCGCCTATGTACTGCACGCACAAATTTCACTTCTTCAAGACGTCCATAAGATAATTAAATATAATTAACAGTTCTAACAATCTTTCTTTGAACAAAGGTTGCGTTCAATTCATAACCTTATGACAAGATTTGAACTAGTTGAACCATTCAACACGGTCTTGTCCAGGCGTAAATCTTCTGCGGTATTCAGCGTAGGCACGCAATACAGCCTTCAACTAGACGGAATGATGACGGAAAGTTTTGTTACAACGGAAGAATGACGAAAATTGAAACAGGCTGGCATTTTCCGGAGAAAACCGATCTTTTTTAGAACCAGATGTCTCTAAATTTAAGATTGCAGTCAAAATCTGATGAACTGAAAGCGTTTGGAGATAGGAGCTGAAATAGTCACCATAGAGGAATGAAGCGGCTCGCCATGTCCCCGACTTGGACTTATCTGATGGCTTTCCTCTCAAACTGATAGATCCATCTCCCACTCTTTTCTCCGGAGGTAACTCGGTTTCTTCAGCTTTGATTCGCATAGATCCCATGTCAGATGTACGAGATGCGTAATGGATGTGCAGCTTTGATGTACTCTGTTTTGGACTGACTATGACCTTCGTGATTAGTATCCGCGCCTGCTCTATGAAGTTGCTGAGGTTGTAACTGAAGGTGCAGAAACAACAGCGTTTTGACTGCTGATGGTGGCCACACTGAGCATGTTTCTGTCCATATTCCTGCACGAGGAGATTTCTGTAATCGTGCACTCATTTTCTTTAAAATACTAGTATTACAGAGGGTAATGTGATGATGAATTCAGTACAGATAAAGTGTCAGTGGTTGATAACTTCGCGGTGATGGAATTGACAAAGCAGCAAACCAGTAACATGCGACATCAACCTTTATACTGATATCCAATCGAGATGCTTTTGAAACTCATGCAAAACACAGCAAGTGTTCTAGAGTAAGGAAAACTTCTTACTCTAAGTGTCTGTTCTGTAGCCAACCACGAAATTTTCGTTCTCGACTACGCTGCTCTACTACGATAAATTTCTGTTTCAGAAATGGTATGAGACGACAAACTAATACCATGATCTATCAGACTATGAGCTACCGCGTTGCTCGCAGATGGAGTAATACTAGTATTAAATCAGAGGCCAGGTCGATATGTCTAAGGTGTTTCGACTCTGACATACTGCCTGGTATTATGGTGAGAGATCAAGAGCTCGGGAACGACAGAAATACCTCGAAACGACTCTCAATCCAGTGTCGGATCTCTGTTGCCTGTCGCGGGTGATTGGACGGTCCCGTACTCTGTAGTTTCGCTATAAGGATATGAGTATAGAAATGAGTTGCAAATGAATCTCTCTTGGTCTACTAAGAGATAGTGAACGAATCTAGTCTGATGCGCACCAGTGGTCTGGAAGCCGAATAATTGGACAAAACTCATAATTCTTAAGCACATGTGTCACGTGTGGCATGACAACAGTGCTAGATGGTTGGTGACTTGTGAAACCACTTTAATTTGATGAGTACTAGCATACCTGTGATTCTCCATTGAACGAGTAATTTCTACCAGTAAAGTCAGATTCTAACATTTCCCAAGAAATAAAAACGTGACTTTAAAACAGAAAAGCTCCACACTAGTAGTAGTACCACTACTACTCCAAAGGACAAGGTACCGTAGATTGGGAGTTTTGCGGCAGGGTTTTTGGTCGTTTTCTTGGTTCGAGGGGAGTGGTTGTAGTCACAACCACGTGGTGTTTTTTCACTCTTTTCATATGTTTCCAATTGCTCAAGAAACCACGCAGAAGAAAGTAGTGTTGCAGGGCAGTCTTCACGAAGACAGACTGATTAAAGCAACCTTGGGTCTCAAAAAGATTTTCATTCCTTCAAAACGGAAGGCTAATGATTGATAATAAAACTCACAAGGAAACAAGGTGATAACGTAGAAGCTACTTGCAGTGTAATCAGTGTTACCAAAGCACGGCAGGTTGATCTTCAGTAATTAAATTCATTCTCCATACCTAAGATTTTGGCGCAAAGTTTCTCTTTTTGTTCTATGTCTAGGAGTGCTACAATGAGTGCACTGAAGTGGCTTTCATATTCCAGCGATAGCTTGGAGAGGTTCTCATGTCTCCTGCTAAATTTCACCCTCTTGAAGTGTGAGCTGCAAGGACCCTAACGTCCACGTCGAGGAGGGAAAATAATTGTTACATACAGTACTTCGCCATTCTTTCTTTGTGATACAAACTGCTCTTTTTTCCGGAAACCTCCACCCTCTAATCTTTCGAAAATCAACCTAGCAAGTATTGTGTCATTGCAATCGCCTCTCATGATGGAGACATGATTGAGCAGTTTGAATTTTTCAGTGTGAATTTTACTAAGTGTGAAACAAAAATCAAATTTTAATACTTAGATAAGATGCATATATAGAAGAGTATTGAAATTTGGTTATCACATAGAGCCTTAGAAAAAATCTCATGGACTTCCATGTTTTCTGGTATTGCGATCCTACTCTCAAAAGAAACCCAAAACCCAATATACCGCAGATGTATTTTTTTCATCTCATTCAAGTGATCAAAAGTCACATGTGGTCCCGCGCATCCGGAAACTATCACTCAGACCATTGCCTTCGGGACCGCGGCACGGAACCCTTGTCATAAATCGGTTTCAATGTAATAGTCAATAGGATAGTAAGACTCTTCTTCACAGATAACAGATCTTGCCAGAGATATTATCATACACTGAAGAATGTACTGCAAGTGAAATCATCGAAATCAGAATAACGAGAAATGTAGTACACTGGTTCAGGGCTTAGTTGCCTTGCAATAACAGGCATTGTCTCGAATTTCTAGATGTTTAACTTAGACTTTCGGTGCTCATTTGGTCCCAGAAGCATCACTATGCGATCACTCAACATGTTGCGTTTTGCATGGGACTCTCGTGGATTGAAACCCTGGTACAAACAGCAAGTGCCAGAAGAACCAGGAAGCATAATGGATCGGAAAACATAGTAAGACAAAACCCACCAACACCACAAGAAAGAATCTTTAGACTGTGCTAATAAACAACCTAGCTCGTTAGAAACATGAAAACTATTTCAACAATTTTTCATAATCGTCCCTTCAAAATAATGAAATGAAGAGCTTCTTACACCAAAAAAATTAGGACTACTTCAATTTACTTCTATGAGAAAAGACAAGAACCTCTTTGATATCCACTGTCGTATCCATATATTATCAAATAGATATCCATTATCAAAATTCCGTCTGCATTAGAACTCAAGAAGTGTATAGATGGAAGCTCATACTTACAACCACACAAAAATCCTTGGGACTAAACCTTTTCATGTCTAACTGATTCTAGTGAGTTTGATGTTCACCATCCTTCATCCTAGAATTATGAAACTTCTCTGGTATATTATCACTAGGTGAAGTAGGAAGAAATTATTCTTCAATTTATAAGTTTCCAATCGTGATGACTTAGCCTGAATTGATCAGAAATGGCAACTAAACACTATATAAACACATAACATGACTGTGCCCTTTGAATCAAAGGGCATAGTACTGTACGAGTCAAAGTCGTAGCCATGCCCTTTTGTACGCAACCATCAGTACAAACTATCTTCGACTTCCACTTGTCTATTCACACGTGGAAGCATGCTTGTAACGTTCGCTTTTAATCTATCAACATACTTTTGGGGGATAATAATGCATGTAAAGTATTCACATAAATCTTTGTAGGCATGGGTCGAGTTAATGATGACGAGATGCAAGATAGATGTGAGCTATTTCTGATTTCGTCGAATGTTCCATAAAATTCTCGAGATTCGAACCTCGCATCTGATTCGCAGTGTCTGATAGTAAGCCTGGATTGATACACAATCATGAACTCGATATCGAATTGTCCTCATACATCTTCGAGGAAACCCATCTTCCAAGAAGAAACCACGGCACCGGTATATTTTAGAAACAATTCATAATTTCGTAAGAATCACATGTTCCAAAGAGCCTGTTAACGGCTCCTTGGAATTCAGGACGTTGCCACCAAATCCTGACTTCAATTTTAATTCTTCATTGTATATGTTCTTGGTGCGCTTTACTTCAATTTCTGTTAAGTTGGTTGGAAGTAAAAATATGATTAGCTACTTCCTTAGTGCTTGATATATTTTTTTATTACCTTCCATTAACATTATCAAGCTCAGATATGAAGGCCTTATATAAATTTGTTCATGTATAGATTAATATAGCTCTATAACCCATGACTTTACCCATATAACCTAGACCAAGATAAGATATATTCCAAGAGTGTAATATATCCAAGTGCAGGATATATCTCAGGTCATTATAACTGATGTGCAAGATATAAGTCAGTTGGGATATAAGTGTTTTGACCTGATCACTAGCATAGTACACTATACTCTGAAGGTCTATAAAGACATTAGAAGGAGAGAGGTCGAGCCCATAAGAACTTAGGGCAAGAAGAAGTAGGATCAAAAAAACGGAATCTACCACGTTGGATTTTTTTGAGATCTGTTCCACTTGCTTCAAAGACATCAAACAAGCATATGGAGTACATCAAGGCCCGTCTAATAGCATGTATGGACGAAATTGAAAGAGTGTTTAAAATTCAATTGGTGAAATAGTCCAATATTAGGAATATTTTTCTACATTTGGTACTTTACAGATTTTTTTTTGTGATGTAATTATCTTTAATTAGTTCAAAATATAATAGAGATTATTCAATATGGAGATAAAATTGCATTAAAAAAAAATCCATAATCGTCATATCAATGATCCATGTGCTTAATAAATAGAATATATTGTATTACTTGATAATAACACATCATTAATATGTATGGTAATTAGATAAAGATTTAAGGTATTAATTGAGAACAATTTGTTAATGATAGATATTCTAACAACCACACATTGTATATGTGATTGTTAGAATATCTATCATGACATCAATCCATTAGGAAATGAATGTATAATGAGGGTGAAATATTATCTCCTTATACTTGTTGATCTATATAGGAAAAATAAATTATCTAGTCATTTCTCATCTTGAGATTTGTGTTTCAGTTTTGAATCAACTCCTCTCTTAATGACTAGTGTTACATGTGAACACAATTTTTAACTTTGGATTTCAAAAGGTCCAAGAATAGTAAAGAAGTATATTGATGAAACTAGAAAAGACTTAGAGACTGGCTTATGTCATGTAGTGTTATGAAATGAGCTGCATTGATGCATTTCCTAATGGACATATTCCTGCAACATGAAATTACGGATTTGAAAATTTCATGTTGCAATTGTACTTGAAAGGCAAATTTAACTTAATCTTTACTTCATTGCAAAACCCGCATGAATTATTAAATTTATCAATTGAATGTGTTAAACATTCATGAAAACAGTTATCAAGCTTTAGTAGTGGATTCAAGAAGCAATTGCATGAATTTTGGTTATTGCAAATGTATGATATGTGAGCTAATATATTTGACCTTGAAAATGAATAGAATAGGAAATAGATTTTTGAATAATATTTTCCTGTCCGTGAAATTATAATTTGTAATGTGTTTTTTAGCATTTTGACCCTTTTGGTTTCACGATCTTGATCTATTTATCATTTACCATTGTTAGGAATAAAATTACTATGCGTTTAAGCTATGTCTAGAAAGACCTTAGTAATTAAAGAGAGTCAACGTAATCTCTAATTTCTATTATTATTTTAATCTTTGACCAAACAAGCTGATCAGTTTAGTTTAGCACTACATAACTTAGGATTAGATTTTAATCAAAGCTTGTTATCTTGCTCAAATAGAATAGAAAATTGTTAAAAAGATTGCATGCTCTATCATTAGGGATATCTAGGCCAATTCATACTCCTGATGACATGAAATTAGCAAATAAAGTCTACAATAAGACATTTAACCTTTCAGTAATTCATAGATATTTAATGCTAAATCATTTAACTTGCAAAAGCATGGAAAGATGAATTTGGCCTTGATATGAAAAAGGTGAGATCTCCAATCCTTACTCTTTGAGCAAGAGGCCTAGCAAAGTCTAGTTGACAACAAGCTCCACAACAGATTAGAAGACTATTTGTTTCTCCTCTAGTGCTTAGCTTAATGGTTTTTTTCTTGCTTGAGTCCAAAGAAGTGTATAATTATTTGATCTGGTTGAATCATCAGATGGATAAATCAATCTACAACATATCTAAAGCTTCTAGCATAGCCTTATTTACCAAATTATCAACAGCTTGATTTCAAGCATTCAATAGCAAGCTTGACATTTGGATTTTGAAAACAATATTTAAGCTACCGTATAGGATAGAGAAATTATTTCATGTCACGTTATTATTTGCAATTCGAATGACTTGATGCTACACTA